TGCTCCAACAGCTCAATTTAGGAATTAGACTAGTGAAACAATAATTTTTAAAGACTTTACTATACTGTACTATTTTTTTTATTTTACTGTAAGATTTCTTAGTCAAAGATAAATTCTTCTTGCTGGGATTTAATCTAATGTTTTACCTAATTAATAAATGTTTTCATCGCTTTGCCATATATTTAAAAATAGTGATAGCATAGGTTTAATGGAGACATATACATCCCTCTTCTATATTGTTAATATATAGCATGATATGTTTATCTACTTGTAGATTTCACTTCTCAGAGGCTTTTAGTGTCTCAGACTTCCTACCAATCTCCTAATCTCTAGAAATAGCAGCATTAACAATTTTCTATTGTTATAGTACTAAACTCTAATTTAAAAATTGAACTTTTGGGGTATTGGTGAAAACATGAACTTGTCTGTTCTCTCAGACCCCAATTCAACAAAACATTCAGGCATGGGTTTATGTCCTGTTCTGAACTGGGGGTCTAAATATGTGGGAAATCTGAATACTTATAATAGCAGATATGCCTAAATAAACCCAGGATGTTCCTCTCTTGATTTGCATATAGAGTGCCTCTGTGCATGGGTTTTCTTTCCTCCACGTGGAAGGGTTTCAGATGACCCTACAAAATTAAACTTCCAATGCTCCATGCATCCCAAGGAAGAAGAGTTGGAATGAGGGAAGCACATCATTTCCACTTTATCCTTTATGTTCATGGAAGATAATCCCCTGTTTCTGGAAGCTGCTGTAGTCAAGGAGAGTCCCTGGTAGCATGGCTGCAATGTAACCATGTTACAAGGGAACTGGGTAAGGGCCAAAGTGACTGTGGGTTTCAGGTCCTCTGGGAATGTGGTCCTGGCCTCCTGTGGATCCCAGGGGATCTTCCAGGGCTAGGGAAACTTTTCCTTGAGAAAACAAATCCCTCTGATTGCCCCTTAATGAGATGTACAGTTTCACAAGGGAAACAATAACCCTTTGTTAGTTTTTACCATGGATGGGAAAATCTGGGCCACAAATTCTTCCAAAACATTTAGAAGCAAATTAGATGTACCAGCAACTTGGTGTTTGATTCTAATCTTAGATTTATTAATATGCGCCCTTAGGGTACGTCTAAACTCCTTTTTTTTTTAAAGAGGATACTCAAATTCTGCAGGAATTTGCATATCTTCCTCCTATCACTTTTTTGAAAGCGGGTCTTTCAAAAATAAAAGCGGTCTGGACATGTTTTTCAAAAAACTGGTCTTCCTTAAAAAAGAGGTTTACGCAGTTTTTCGAAAAGGGTTTTTTTTTTTTTTTTTAGAAAAAAAACCATGTCCAGACTACTTTCACTTTCGAAAGACCCAAAAGCAGACAGAGAGCGGGAAGAGGGGGTTAGACAGACAGTCTGGGCCCTGGCAACCAAACTGGGAAGGACACTCGAATCACACTAGGAATCGTTTGTGTGAGTGAGTGGAAGGAGATCTCTGACTCCAACCCCTCCACCTTAGCTCTGCCAACAGAGCAGATCAGCCCAGCCTTAATGAGCAAGGGTGTCCAGACTGACCAGTGGAGCGACTTTGCCCCGCCACTCCAGAGACTGCTCCCAGGGCTCCAGCTGATAGGAATGGTTCGATGACACTTGCTCTGTGCTGCTGTAAGCCCATCAATTATTCAGGGAGCTGAGGGTGCTCAGCACCTCGGGGAACCAGCCCCCCCAGCTAGGTCCCTGCTAAGGAGGTCAGCACCTCACCGTGGGCCCCATGATTGGAAATTTGGGCCTAAATGTTTTTCCAAGGTTCAACAACCAAGTCAGTGGCAGAGTGGGCTGGCACCCCCCCCCTCACAAACACACCCTGGGGCACGCACAGATAAGGCATTTTGAACTATGTATTGCACTCTTTCATGGAATAGGCCTCAGACCTGTCTGTGTGTGTGAGTCTATCCAGCCAGTCTTGTCCTTTTCTCTCCTATGGTGAGCGCTGTGGGTAAAGGACTTAGGGGTATTCTACAGTCCTGATCAAATTTTCTCTATTTCACTCAAAAGTTGACACCTGAAGAAACAGTGCTCGATGCAGATCTAGGGGCTCATCTAGACTATGCTTTTTTTTGGCACCTCCCTTTTTCAAAAACCTGTGTAAACCTGATTTTTTGAGGAAAAGCGGCTTTTCGGAAAGGGGGGGTTGCCAAAAAAACGCGTCTTGAGACTACTTTCACTTTCGAAAGCTCCTGCAGAATTTGCATGTCCTCTTTCAACACTTTAGCATAGTCTAGATTAGCCCTAAATGTTTCAGTTAGCCTGTAAGTCTTCAATGGGACATGACAAAACCAAACATCTCTGAACTTTGGAAAAGCTGGGATCAAAACTGAACTTTACCTCTTTGATCCATTTCTAAAAGAAAAGTAGGTAAATGTTTAACTGAAGCCTTATTCCTTTTATATTGCCCTTGTGTCATGCTTGTGAGTGTACACCCCCATTGTGGGTATGAGGTGACAATATTTTGGAAGAGTTATGACGGAACTGGCAGGAAAAGTAATTGAAACATGTGTGCGAGAGGGACAGAGATGGAAAAATCCTGTTTGTCAACCTGGACCAACCCGGCAGCACCCCAGCTACTCTGCCCCAGGCGTCCTGATTCAGCCGCTGCTGGTCAGTTTCAGCAGCTGATCAGTTTCAGCAGCAGCTGACTTGGGGACACCTGGGGTTCTTAAGTTGAATCTGTATGTAAGTCAGAACTGGCGTCCAGATTCAGCCGCTGTTGAAACTGATCAGTTTCAGCAGCGGCTGAATCTGGACGCCAGTTCCGACTTACATACAGATTCAACTTAAGAACAAACCTACAGTCCCTATCTGGTACGTAACCCGGGGACTGCCTGTACTGAGTTTCTGTATGATAACTGGCCCTAGACCAGCAACTATAATTCCAACTGCCTGTTTGTTACATTTGAGCCACACTCTGGCTTTAGGTTACACCTGGCAAGATGACCTCAGTGCCCTTTTGTTATGAATTTTCTCAAAACCACGTGGTCTGCAACCTGCAGCCCTTTCCTTGTGCACTTTTTTGTAGTTCTATGTGTTGGAATTACAGAATGCCGCACTAGAGCTAAGATAAGTAGTAGGAAGAATCTCTCATGTTGGGCCAACCTGCAGTTCTAGCCTCTGAACTTCAAGGGCTCAATTTCACACCTGCTGGTGTAGGAAATTGCAGATTGTGTTGGATGGCATGAAGGGCAGACTTGGATCTAATGATTTCAAGTTACTACTAAGCTAGGTTGCACTGAAGGCTCTATGGGTTTTTTGAACGGTAAATGTAGTTCCAAATCAGCAACAAGCATATGATTTTGACTCCCTCACCCCGCCCCTTTTTTTTTTTAAATTGCAGGTATTTATGAGCCGCCATTTCTTGTACTACTGCAGTGAACCTACCCTGGATGTGAAGATTGCCTTTTGTCAGGTGTGTGTTCCTTACAGGTAAAACAAGGTACAGTATATACTTGTACTTCCATGTTTGATATACATATTACAATATCCCTGTAGAAGTACAGTAGAAGCCCAGTACAGGCTACTAAACTGTGAGAATTAACAAGCAGAAAAATACAATAGAAAAATAGATAATACATCAGAGTTTACATTTCCCACTTATTTTGACCATCATAGTTTGGTTTTAATCATTTATGACTATGCTTTGCAATAGCTACTGAACTGGTGTACCGTAAATTAGCGAATATAGCCCGCAGGTTGTCCATGTTTTTACCTACCACGCCTCCCCCCGCGGGGTATATATGTCCGTGTCTTATGCCATTTGATTTTTACTCATATTACAAGATGACAAGATCAACCCTTCTTTTCTCCACTTGCGAACAGACTTTTCATTAACGGAAAATTTTCTGCCTGCTGCTCTATTGCCATTTTCTTTTGCATATGTAACAACAGATAGTTTAAAATCAGCTGTATATCATTTGCATCTTTAAAAATATTTTCTTAGACTATATTTGTTATAAACTGAAAAAGTTCTAAAACATTGTGATTGGTGTAGGTTTGATATACTGGTAATAGGGTAGCGCTTATTGTTTTTTTTATAGCTCAGCGGCCTCAGCCCTGGTTCATTACTCGTATAACAAGACCCAGTATTATCGGGCTGCATGACGTCATAATCTTCAATCTTTATAGCTGGCAAGTGGCAACCACATCAAAGACCACCAGATTCTTTTATGAAGGCGGCAGAAGTCTCTGCAGGTTATATACGTCCTCGGGTATTCTAATACATATTTTTACACATGATAGAAAAACTGTGGGTAATACATGAGTGTGTGTTATACTTGAATGCGTGTTATATTCGCTAATTTACGGTAATTTTTATATAAACAGAGCCTTTTTATACACAATATGGAATTTACGGTATGTCTATAATACAAAGTTAATTCGAAATAACAGCAGTTATTTCGAATTAACTTTAATAGCGTCTACACAGGCAAACCGCTATTTCGAAATAAATTAAAAATAGCGGAGCCCTTAATTCGAATTTGGTAAACCTCATTCTACGAGGAATAACGCCAAATTCGAAATAGCTATTTTGAATTAAGTGCTGTGTAGACACTTAATTCAAAATAGGGGGCCTCCAGCCCTTACCACGGAGGCCTGGTGGCCACTCTGGGCATAACCAGGAAAACTTCCTCTCCTCTCTCCCAGCCCCAGAGCCATTAAAGGGGTAGACCCTGCCCACAGTGTGTGTGCCAGCTCCAAGCCTGCCAACCCAAAACATGAGCCAGCAAGCCACTGGCAGCCAGCCCTCCACCACTCCCCAGGAGCAGTCTGCCAGCTCTCAGGAGCCTGACGGGGGCTGGAGAAGGCGGGCGCCTTCCTCGTCCAGGGTGGAGATCATGGACCTTATTCAGGTTTGGGAGGGATGCCCCCCAACGTCCATGATCTTAGCCCTAGATGGAGGAACACGGCTGTCTATGGCAGGATAGCTGCCAGCCTGGCCACCAAAGGCCACATGCGAACACAGGAGCAGGTTTGCATGAAAGTCAGGTTGGTCCAGCGAGACCCCCAGCCCTGAGCCCTGAGCTTCCCCTCCTCCTTCTTCCCCTTGCTTCCCCCTCCCCTCTCCCTCTCTCTCTTTCTCTCTCCCACCTTCTTTTCCCAGTCCCCCCCGGCCTCCCGTCCCCCCCCCCCCCCAGTTTTGTTCAATAAACCCAGTCTCAATTTTTGAACATACGTGTCTTTTATTTGACATCAGGAAGGGGGGCTAGGGAGGGATAAGTGGAAGTACGTGAGGGAGGAATGGGGCACGAGTCCCTGGTGGGGAGGCCCGTGGAGGCCCTGAGGGCTCCTCAGGGTGGACTCTCTTCTTCAGGGACTCCTGGATCCTGACAGCCCCCGATGGACCCCCCGGATGGCAGCTTGCAGCAAGTGCAGCCGGGCTGATGGCAATGACCCCACGAGATTCACTGGCATGCCCGGGGCAGCTCTGGCTCCATGTGGCCAAGTGCTGTGGTGTCCCGAGTGTGGGCACTCAGGGCACTCCAAGACAGGACTGCTTTGCTGTCCCTCATCGAGGTAGACAAGCAAGCTGGGAACCCTGAGAACTGTCTGTTTGGGGTGGGGGATGGGTCCCTTTAAGCACGGAGCTCAGTTAGTCCCAGGCAGCAGCCCCACACACTAAGTCCTAACTTGATGCCCTGCTGGCACTGGTTCCGGCCAGCCTTAAGTTCGGTTCAGGGTCCACTCAGTGTGGACGCACTATTTCGAAATAGCAAAATGCTATTTTGAAATAGTTTTTGTGTCTAGATGTGTTATTTCGAATTAGCGTAATTCGAATTAACTATTTCGAATTAAGTTAATTTGAAATAGTGCTGTAGTGTAGATATACCTTTAGATAATAAAACCTGGTTTAAGTTGAATCAAAAATTGGACCCTCTTAATCTCAGAAGAGAAATCTCTTAAGAGATGCACAGAAATATCCAAAAAGATTAATTAAAACACATTTTCTGTATTTTGTTTCAGGCCTTTGCACTGTAACACTAGAGAACTCACTTCTCTCTCACTAGAGAACTACTCTATAATCTCACTGTAGAACTGTCTTTGCCTTTGCATCTGTGCTGACAGATGAAGAAGAGTGATCAAATTTGTGTATGGAATACAAAGTATGTGGCTTACTGAAATTTATGTGACTGAAGTTCCACTATATTGAAGCCAGTTTTGTATTTTTAAGTTGATCTTGAAATTTTTCAGACGTGATGCTTTAAATTGTGCAAGGCTGAAACTAAATTCAATAAATGAAGTGCAGATGGAAAGATTAATTTGTTCAATTCTTGGTCATGTTAGTTAGATTTGGGAAGTTTAGCATTCATATGTTTTAAGAATCCAGAAATCATGAAGACATTTTCATTATCTAGATGAACATGTTTTCTTTCCTATTCAATTTTCCTGTAGCATGACTAGTGCCTGAGCATTGTCTCTCCATTTATTTTTCGGAGAGCCTCAGACTACCAGAGCTCTATGTCTACACTGCAGAGCTTTTCCGGGATACCAGAGGAAAAGGAATGTGTCTGCTTTCCAAAAAATTTTTGGAAAAGCAGACATGTTTTTTCTGCAATCCTGTAAACCTTGTTCTACAAAGAAGAAGGGATGTTCTGAAAGAGGGGTTTTCCCCCGACATTTGGCCCCATGTCAATGTGCCAATTGTCGGAAAAGCCTCTTTCAGAAGAAAAGCGAAAAAAGATACGCAAATTGTGGTATCTTTTTCTGACTTTTCCTTGTAGTGTAGATATAGCCTGGGTGATGACAAGCATAATATGTGTTTCTTGATCACTGAGTACAGTTTTGCATTCTTAAAAAGAACATTACATTTAATACTTAAGCTGCAAATACATTATATTAGGTCCAAGTAACTGAAAAGCAAGTAAAAATAATATTTGTTCTATGCTAGCATTTAATATAAAGGAGCAAAAAGGATTTTTCCTTTTCTCTGCACTTCACAAGGCACTTATGCTCAGAGTGAATCTGGATCATGTAATTTCATTTTTCAGTGTGACCATCTGCATTGAACATTTTCTTTTCCCAAATCCTCCTCTGCCTGAGTCAATTTTTCTCTCTTTGTTCCTCATCTACGTATTGGTCTTATTTGCTCAACTCCCCTTTGTACTATAACCATCTTTGGTAGTTAGCAACATCTCATAATTCAGCTAAACTCCCTTTTTTGTCATCGTCATAGATGGGTTACTCTTACTTTTCATCCATAACTCCCTGACAGAGTTGAGGAAACTCCATCAAAACACTTTTATTAAAGCAAAATGACTTCTGAATGTGCTTACATTTTTTGTCAAAAATCCCATTTTAAATTAATGTGTTTGCATTTGCCTGAAAGAGTATTTAAGTTTTTGACAAAAAAACAAAAAAAACCTAAGTCTTTTTAAAAATAAATAATTGTAAAAAATTTTTGGCGGGAAATTTCATTTTCTGACTCTCGTTCTTAACTCTCTCTTTTCCCTGCCACTGAGACCCCATAGTAAAGATGTATAGTATTGTTTGCCTAGAGTTCTCCTCTCCCACTGTGAAGTATGCTGTATATGTCAATATACAAGTGCACCACTTGCACTGTGATCTCCAGTCTCAAATGAAATGACATCTCAAATGGTGTATCCCCCCTCCCTATTGCACCTGATTTAGATATGAACAGAGGAAAAGTTTTGTACCCCCTTTCCTCTGTATTACTCAGAATCACAAGCAGCTCAAGGAGAGCTGCCGGCAACTGGCACTCTAGGTGGAATGCACGATCGGCACCCCTGTCTCCATAGCCCTCAATGGTGTGATGTCATCATTGGGTGCCGTGTTAAACGTGGCACCCTACGCAACTGCCGAGGTTGCCTACATCCACGGGCCGCCCCTGCTCAGAATTCTGTTTATTAGGCTGTCAAGGAGTGCTTGGCACTCGGAGCACAGAATATGGGAGCCGTCAAGAAACCTTAAATACCTTGCCTCTATAGGCTCTGCTTTCAGAAACTTCCCAGAGTCACAGATGCACTGGGTCTGAGAAAAAACAAAACCAAAAACTGCCACCATAGAACCATAGAGCTGGAAGAGACCTCCGAAGGTCATCAAGTCCAGCCCCCTGCTCTAGGAAGGACCAATCCCAACTAAATCAACCCAGCCAGGACTTTGTTGATTTAGTTGGGATTGGTCCTGCCTAGAGTGATTTACCCTAAAAAGAAAGCAGGGGAGGTACACTTGAATTCCTCCCCCAGGGGGACCCCAAACTCTTTTGACCCAAAAGAGCTTGAAAAAAAAAAGAGAGAAACAAGCTGCCATCTCTTGTAGCTGACCGCTCAGTCTCATACACACAGACCCTCTGTTATATCCCAGGACACAAGAATCAAATCATCACCTTAAAAAAGTGATTTTTATTAACAAAACAGAAGATAAACTTGATAAAGCATACTTGGTTGCTAGGTG